CACCATAACATAGTAGCACATCACAATCACAAGATACTCTATTGCGACTCTTCATTTCTGATTTATTTTGCTTTCTCATGAGCCTCTTAGACGGTAAACTATCATGGTGCAAATGCTGCCTCATCTGATTCCAAAACCTGAAGCCATTATTATATTTTTTTTTAATGAAAAAATGCGTTTCTCAAAATACTTGTGCATTGAAATGGTTTAATCCAGCCTCGATCTGATAAGTGACTAAGAAGAGGCAGGGAAAGTAGGCAAATCAAACACATTTTCTCTACTTCAACGTCCTGCTTTGTAAGTAAAGCCTTGAATGGAATTTGCCCATCACAGCACGTGCCCCAGAGAATACGATTTCTATGCAAGGGATCAGAGCAGTCAAGATTAGTGGTAACCTTTTGATTTTAGCCCAGTGAAGGGTGAAATATATTAATATTAAAAACGCAGAAGCAGAATTTTTGTTTAGCGCCCCGTTATCCTGTATCCATACATCTACCAAAAGGCTGTCCAGTTGGTTCAAAATAGATTTCCTTCAAACCTTCATTCCACTTCCTTTTTCAAAAGAGGACTTCAGGGCGTAGGAAACAGAAGTTAGAAAATGAAAGCCTCACCCTTTTCTGAGATCAATGAACAATGTCTTTCAAAAAAAAAAAGAAAAAAAAAAATTGCCATCCGATTTTTGTTTCCTAATGGCAAACATCAACACAGCAAAACAGGATGCAATTTTTCTAAATAAATAAATCAATGATGTGTCAAAAATTAACAGATGAGTTAATATACTTGGTGCTATCAAAACCAGATGGTGCTTCCTAATATTCTTCCTGCTCAGTCAATCCCTGAATATTTTCTGGACCATCGGTATATAAAATAGGATGCTGCTATTTGTGATGGCAAACAAAAGCAATCATGCCTGCCAAGCACACACTATAACAGGCAGCATTTCAGCTCTGCTAGACAGAAAGTAATTAGAATGCTTTTAATGTCCAAAAGAATGATGCTGATAGGCTGCCACAGATGTGTAGATTTATGAATATTTATATGGTGGTTTATAGCTGACACTTTTATCAGTTGAAGAAGATAAAATATCTGCCTGACTCAAAAGCTTGACAGTCAGGTTAATAAAATCTCATTAAAGAGAATGACCTATGCAATTATATAGGATTTATTGTAATTCATTTTTGATTGTACTCTGCTTAAAGATGCAATTTCCCATTTCCTGATGCCAAATTTAGGCTGCATATCAAGATCTACGTGGGGTTTAACTCTAAGCCTCCCACAGAGGAAAAATACGCCTTAAAACCATGGTGTATTACCCCTTTTAAGGAAAATTATACTCTTCACGAGATTTCCTAAGAATGTGGAAGGATCTATTTTTAATCACATATTTCTCTTCTCCATGGTTTATGGTCCTTAATGGCAAAGAAGATTCACTTCAATCCTTTCATCTTTTCACTGCATTTACTCTGGACACTCAGTTAGGTGCCTTCCTCTGTCCTTGACTCATTTGATTCCATCGATGTTTTGACTGTCCTCAGTTCACGAGGTGGCCCGAGACACTGCAATCACACTTTGGGAGTGCAACAGATGGAGCACCCCCCAACCCCACCCCTACCCAGTGCGCTGGATGGCCTTGGGCCTCTGTGCCAACGCTCATTGGTCCAGAGCAGAGCCACTTATTCCTCTAAGAACCATCATTGGTCCAGAGTGGAGCCACTTGTTCCTCCAAGAACTATCATTGGTCCAGAGTGGAGCTACTTGCTCTTCCAAGAACCATCATTGGTCCAGAGTGGAGCCACTTGCTCTTCCAAGAACCATCATTGGTCCAGAGCGGAGCCACTTGTTCCTCTAAGAACCATCATTGGTCCAGAGTGGAGCCACTTGTTCTTCTAAGAACCAATCAGCTCTGCAGGTGGCTGTCATGCTGACGGTGACCCACATCACTGTGCCCGTTAAGAGCTGGCTTCATCCATTAGTGATTCATATTAGGACCACAATTCTTGATATCTAGTCCTACAGCCTTTTAATTAATTAACTTTTTTGGCCCCTAAACCATTTTCCTCACTGCATGAACAGAACCACTCATTCAATTTCCATCTTTCCAATAAACGCGAGGCATCCAGCCCTCAGTGCTACCAAGCTTACCCCTCTCGGTGACCTCTCCTTAAAAAAAAAAAAAAAAAAGTAAAATGCTGCCTTGAAAATAAAAGGAACTATAGGGAAGTTTGAAGGGCATCATCCCAAACGCCTCTTTGCACTCCTTTGGATTCAGGGATGCTATCATTTCCACCTGGAGACAAAGACAAAATTAACGAAGTAGGACACGAGAAGAAATACCAACAGAGAGCACCAACAACTCCCCACGAAGGCGAGCCCACGACAAACCGCCAGGGTGGGAGAGACCATGGACAAGACGGCAAGAGCTGGGGGCAGACATAAAAGAACTGACACCGGAACTATGGCAGGGAACGCAAGATTAACGCTATGGATGAAGATGGAAACACGAGTCCAAAGTACAAAACAACGGGAGAGGAGGACAGATGGGAGGACAGGACAGAGTGCAAGGACAGCGAGAAACCAAGACAGGGCATGGGGCAGACAGAGGTCTAACCCCGGGCACACGGTGGACCCAGCCTATGCAAAGGAGTAAAACATGAAAGATGGGAAAAGGACCCACACGGGGGAGAAACAGCATAAAAATAAAGAAAAAGCCGAACTAGGGAAGAAACGAGAACACAAGAAAATAAGGCGTCCAACCCAACCTCATGAAGAAGTGTGTGTGTGGGGGGAGACAAATGAAAGAAGCAAGCCCCCAACAATGCTGATCAAAACACAATGGGCTACAGGGCCAAAGCAACTGGGGACAAATTGCACCCTACAAGAAAGAAACCTACATAAGAACCCCCCTTCAAATCAGCCGGCACCTCCAAATAGTGAGAGATGCCACAGAGCACGTCTTTGCGGCAACCTGTAATTAGATTTTTCCTCCAAACCAATCCTTCATGTGTCCAAATATTGACAAATGGCAGCACATTATCAGTGTAGGCATCTGTAACTCACTTAGAGACAACGCGCTTCTATTCTCGGGGAGACTAAAAGTCGCCGATGCACGGATAGGTAGAATTTGGGGGGGCTCCAAAGTGCTGGAAGGGGCCTGAGCAGGAACTTGGAGTTCCGGCGAGCCCAGCAGCGTGGCTGTGCGTCCTCTGGGAGCCACAGGCCCTTGGAGGCATGCCCGTTGGTGGCGGGTGGCCTTCCTCCAGCCCATCTCCCTCTGGTGGCCCAGCCCGCAGGGAGCTGGCTTTTCCCAGGGGGCTGCCTGCAGAATCCGGATAAAACAGAGTGGTCTCCGACCGCTACCCCGACGTGGGTGCTCCCCAAGGCATTTCTGCAGGGCCTAAGCCGAGATGGTCCCGAAGGGCAGGACCCTGCAGCGTGGCAGTGTCCCCTCGACTGGGGAGAACAAGGCTGTGGGATCCGAAGCGCCAGCGCCGGAGGGGCGGGACGCCAGGCAGGGCTGGTGCGGAGGAGCCCGCT